CGTACTTATTGTTGGTAGATATAAATAGTATATATATATTAGAGGTGGGCGATATATATCGTTTGCGATAATATCTTCTTTTTTTTTTTTGAAAAATTAAAAATTTTATTTTTAAATAATTTAAATAATAAAAAAAAAAAAAAAAAAAACCCCCAAAAAACCCCCAAAAAAAATAAAAAAAACCTGGTAGATGGCAGGATTCAGTCATATAACTAGTAATCACATGGCGTGATCACGTCCTCACCTTTATTTTTGCGATATAGAGATATATGGCACATCCAGTCCTGAAGTACCGGTACTTCGTGATTTAGTGCTGAGACGTGGGTTGGTTTTTATGCAACTGCTGGTAAGTATTTTAAATTTGTGTAAATTGTTCAACTGTTAATACAACATGGTAATTTAGTCAGCTCAGACAATTCTAATCACACTTTAAAGGTTACTGATTATTAAAATCCAAAAATATTGAGATATTTTTTATATATACAATATGTGAAAGGCTTTGTCTGATTATGCAACTGCTGGTAAGTATTTTAAATTTGTGTAATTGAGTTAAACAAACTGGAATTTATTAGACCATATTTCCAGGTATGACAAAAAAAAACACACACACAAAAAGTCATATTTTCCAAACTTACCGAAGGCTTTTGGGTCCTGGTTTGTTCCTGAACTCATTGCAGCGTTGTCAATTGTTTGCCACTCAGACTTTTGATCAGTTTGCGCCTGAAACAAAGAAAAGCAGCCACAGTTGTTTGCAGTTTCTTAGGATTCATCATGTTCTTCATTATTCACAACCAAGCATATATGTTCGTTGTTTACACTTGTTCATGGCTTACAAGGCTAGCATTGAACCATAAGGGGGAAAAAGTCCAGATTTGTGGGGTTTACACAATACAGTCTAGAAGGTATAGTGTAAATTTGTCAACCACATACTCTCAAATTATAGGTCTTTCACATAATGTTTGTAACTTCCTTTACTTATGTTGTTTTACATGGTCAACCACATAACTGGAGGGCAGTATGGGAAAACCAACTAGATTTTGTAAATTTGCAGTTATTCGTACATGCAGTATATTTAAACCATCATTAACCCAAAATGTACAAAATAACTTTTTTTTAAACATTGAAGACAATTGATGAAGGAATCATGGAATCTTTAAGCAAACATATTTGGGAATTTTTATATCACCCTACAGAAGCAGTGTTTCTTAACATTTAGGTCATAACCCTCAAGGATCTTTTAAGATTATATTCTTATTACTGTAAAGCAATATAAGGAAAACAGGAAGAAACTGAAAATTACACAAAATAATGAGATAACACAAAAACTGAATAAAATAAAGCAATAAAAACAATTATGGGCATAATTTATAAAAAAAAATATTAATTAGATTGGAGTACATGTATAGGCATATAAAATATTTGTATGAAATCATACGTTTCAAATATAGATAATATAGAGCTGTAACAAAACATATTTTATTATATTTTAATCTGTCTATGTATATTATATATAGTTAACCTATTAATTGTTCAGTTCAAAAAATGGCAAAAATGCCCATCAAAATGTTCCAAAACTCAACCCTGTAACTAACTGTTTAGGTAGCCCTGATATAGTTATTTTCAGATGATTCATTTTGAGCTCCCTCCACCGTCTCAAGTACACACAAAGTCACATGACTCAACTTCATGGCTCCGTTCTGTAACTGCTTGGGTCATGAGAAACTGCGAGACCTACACATGGGGTCGTGGGCCAGAAAAGGTTGAGAAACTCAACCTTGGAGGTTCTCCTCATGTATCATCTATGTTACCATATGACATCAGCCTGTCAAAGTGGGGATGCTTTGAGTCCTGCGTGACTCGTGCAGACATTTGGAGACATGCTGGGACACTGTAAAAGGGGAATGTGAAATCCCACCTAGAGGCTGACTCTGCCCAACTGCCTGTGGAGTCAAGTAACTTTGCCAGTAATTTAACTGCTCAGGATCCAAACATAGACAAGAGCAGAATGTCTTCGAATCAAACTGTTAAGCCGATGCACATATCTGTAAATCTTCTTTATGCCACTAACTCTTAAGAATTATGTTTTGAACCGTGATTCTTGTTAGGTGTCTAGTTGTTAACTACCAGCAAAAGACTGAAAGTAAACTTTAATCTCAAACTGCCTGAGCAATCATGTAGATTTGTCTTGTGTTGAAAGATGAAAAAACACCTATACTTGAAAAACACGACCTCCCCAAAGATTGATTATGAGAGAGGTTTGTTTTAACCAAGTCTTCCGCTTATAGGCAGTAAACAGGAGATGACTGTGACCTACTTTGAATGTTACTCACAAGACCTTTAAGTCCAGTACAAATAGATGGTAATGACCGAAGTGTTAGTGTAGGGTATTTTTAATCTTTAAAGTAAAGTCAGTTGAGTAATTTTTTTAGTATCTTCAGAGCTGAGGGGATTTTAATTAGAACAAAAAGGGATGTATATCAAGATCATGGTCATACGGCTTCTTTACAAGGCCCTTTAACATAAAGGACCATAAGAGGAACACCGAAAAATGTGAAAAAGCATATCTAACCTTGAACATCTACAACGCAGCAGAAAAAGGTATTATAATAGCTTTGATGTGTCACACAGTGCAGACTGATCATAGTCACATGCTCAGTCCTTTGTTCGTCATGGGAAGTCAGTTGGGAAGGTCACATTCCTCAAATATGGCACACAGTTGAGAACTTCAGTAGAAGTGTTACAGGATGATCTTAAGAGGTCCACTTATATTTTTATATTTTTTACATCAAAATTCTTAAGACTTTACTGCATTAACATTAATATGAAAAAGAAAGAAGTAAAGTTTTATGGTTAAGATACTATTAAAGATAGTGCTCCTGTTTCTGTGGTGTTTGTTATGGGCCAGGTTAGTGAGGCTATGCTAAAAAGCCAGGCACTAACATTTTTACACAACTATATAAAATAGCAGCATGTCCGCAGGTCATAAAATGTAAAAAAGAAAAATAGTCTGTTAAAACAAGTATGTTTTTCTTTCCTTTTTGTCAAGATCTGTAGGTTTCTGCATTGAGTCAAATGCTTTGACAGCCTATGAACCCAACCTAATTCTAAATCTGTGGTAAACAAAGCCTAGTACTTATCTTTATAAGATGAGTGGAAAAAGAGGGTGGGTTTATAAATGTAATCACTTATAGTGCTGTTTGTCTTAAAATCAATCAAACATTTATGGATCTGAAAAATGTATTGGAGCTAGTCTGTATTGTTCCTCAGTCCTGAAGCCTTTCTGTTGTCCCATATTTAAACAATCGTACAGTTGCCTCTATACCACTTGACTGAAACCATCCTGCATGATGGTTTCAATCTCACCATATGAAATGTTGTTGCTTTTGGTCAGTAGATTAATTTCGGTGAAGATTACTGACACGAGAAAATTCCCATAAAAACAAAAATCAGACTTACTTTAAGTTTTTCGCCGACTACCTTCAGCTATCCGTCCTCAGCTCGTTCTCTGTCTTCTCACTATCCGATATTTCAAACGTGACACCCCTTTTTGTTCGGTGATAAAAGTTTGGAGCGCATGGAAACCCATACATGGGTGAAATGTAGTTGCTAAAAACCCATATTACAGCTGTGGTAAAGGGTGGAGGTTCCTCTTACCCATCCCTATGAAAGCGATCACTTTGCAGCTGGCACTGGAAATACATTATGACTGTTCATTCAATATGGTATTGGACATCAACAGTCAACAGTTTTCCACCATTACTGTTGACAATATAAAAACAGCAGGCAAATTCTATATTAATATCCAGATTCACACTGTCATATTTAAACTCTGGCGAATTTGTGCATATTTCATTATATTTTATTAGCGATTGATATTACTGTACTATATTTTCATGGCTGAGACTTTATGATTAATGGATCTACAATAGCCATGTACAGTAAGAGTCAAAGCATCTAACCCAAAGCTTTTCGACTGGCAGTTTCACAAGGTCTCCAGTAATATGATCACTGTACTATGGACTTTATTGGCCAATAAACATTAACATGAGACATTTTATTTGGTAAAATAATCTCTGGTTAAAATGAATTAACCTCCATAAGTATCAACGGAAATTCTCACAGCATGTCTGTGGTATTCTATGAGTCACCCTGGCTGGTGTGGTGGCATAAAAAGATGGTTGCTCATGGTGTGGTGATGTGTTGGACTCGTTGCACTGAGCATGTTTTGGGTTCACATTGTCAGAGGTTAAACAAGTGTGACTTATCCAGACAGTTTAAATAGTCACCCTGAACTCATAAAAGAGTGTGACATAACTGCAAGAAAAGCCTGAAGACACGAATGGAGAGTAAACACAAATATCACCTCTGATCTGGTAGAGGAAATTAGGTAAGCACTCTTGCATAAAACAAGTACATTAATGACTGTGCTAAATATTATGGGAAAAACAATGCTGCATTATTACACTCTTATCAGTGAGTATAATGCAATCAGATAAAATGGGTCTCTTGGCAGTAAGTGTTTAGTCAGCAGGTTATATTCAGCAGAGATGAATGTGTTACAGATGTCAGAGTATAGTACGGATTGGATTTGTGTTCAGTAAAATATAATATGTAATGTGAGTTTTTCTTTCAGATCTATACATATGAGTAGTTAAATATAGTTTTCTCACTGAAAGCTCTTCCTTTAATGGTTATTTGACTGTAGATAAAAGAAGGACTAATTTAAGTTTTGTAGCCGAGGATCTTCTTATAGACAGTTTACTGAGCAGCTCAGTTGAGCAATGAAAATGTGCACTTGGCTTAATGTAGTACTGCACTGTACATGGTGTTGTGGGCTTAGATGTTGGAGCTGTGTGCTACTGGAAACGTGCTGAAAACACCTATTGCTTTAATGATGGCCATTGATTCAGAGTTGGGAGGTAAGTGAAAAAAATGTTTCATAGTTATGGATGAGGCAAAAATTCCTTGACAAAACAAGACCATAAAGAACCTTACACCAGTTGTCAGTTGTTGTCACCAGTTGATTTTATTGCAGTTGTTTGTCAGAAATTGTCAAAATTTGTCAGATGTCTTTGTGCTATAGTTTGTCACTTCACTCGTGCTGCATAGTTATTATTTCTGATGACAGGGTAACAATTGTAAATCAATCGCATTTCAAATAAATTAAATAAGTTAGTATTAAGATCACTTTAGATGTTTTTTACCAGCACTTTACATAACAGTATTGCATGCTGTCAGTGGAGTTTATGCTGTAAAACAAAACATTCCACTTCCTTATTTTCCAGAATATCTCAGTAAGAGGAAAAGCTGCATGGCCTTCATGTCATTTTAATCTGTTGGGAAAAAGCACAAGTGAAAGAATATTATTATAAGAATCAACCAAAACTCGTCCTGAAAAAAATCCAACTGTTACAGTAAGTTTACCTTACCTTTAACAATAAGTTTAGTCGAACACTCTGCCTTGCCAAGAGAGTTGACTGCAACAACTTTATAATTGCCGCTGTCCTGTTGTCGGACTCTGAGAATGAACATTGAGCACACACCAAATGAGTTGGTGATATAATAGTTGTTGTCGAAGTTGATGCAGACGTCGTTCAGGTACCAGGATACAGTGGGTGTAGGGCATCCTCGGACGGCACATGTCATATAGAGTTGGTAACCTTTAGGTGGCGTGTGGACTTTAAGAGGGACCAAGATGGACGGAGGCCTCTCAAAGCAGACATTTGTTGAATTAACTCCATTTGAGCTTATTGGAACTTGAAGGGAGAAGTCAAAGAGGGGAAGGATTTAAATAATAATTTAGGTCACATGATAATTATACCGTCATGGCTCGGAAAAGTTTCAGACATTTTATGTCCATAAAGTGTCAGTTTAACTCTGCTAACATGCTTATATTTATCTGGTAGTATGTTTATATTCACCATCTTAGCACACTAACATCTACAATATTATTATTAAAGCAAATAACTTTTTTTTTTTACGTAGTTTTACCTAACCACTGCTCTGTTGTCTGCTAGTATGTGGCATTATACAGACTCCACATAGAATTTGTACAGGAAAGAATAATATCACATTGTACATTTTGTACACAAAAGCGGAAATATTCAACTATCATTGCAATGCTATTATATAATGGAATCATGGTTTACTCCACAGACCTTCAGTCTGGAAACAGATTAGCTCTAATCGGAGATGATTCTATATTCCTTTTTTGTTGCAGAGTACACAACATTTGAATTAGTAAAAATATAACTGATCACACATGAAATTGTCAAACCATTGAGTGTTTTGTATGGTTTGGTTTACTGTAATGGCATAAAGAAACATAACGGAACTGGAACAACTATAATAACCCACCTCTGTTGTTGTTGACGCCCCATGTAGGTGACTGAGATGGATCTGAGAGGCCCATATCATTCTTGGCATAGACACGGAAATGATACTCTATCCCTGGAAGGATGTTGATGGCCGTGTATGTCTTAGTGAAGAGGCGATCTGCTACTGTCTTCCACATTCTGGTGTTGGAGTCGCGCTGAGACACCATGTAGTACAACCGGTCGTCGAGCTCCTCGTCTGGAGACGGAGCCCATGAAATCACCACTTTGCCCTGGACTGTTTGCTCCAGCTCCACTGGGCCTGGAGTCTTGGGTTCATCTAGCAACAAACACGGTAAGATGTAGAGTATCTTACTTAGAGAGGTAAAAATCCCTTGCTTATTATTTGTCCTGTTTTCCCCCCTTTTTTGGAGCAATTTCCATTATCCTTGTATAATCTTACCTTAACAAGAAGCATTTCACTCCTATGTGGGTTTTTATCAGGATGTCCTTTACATGTGACAGCTGTTAGCTGTTAGTTAATCATATCATATTACTACATGTTGCATAGTAAGAATTATGTTTCTCATGCGATGTAGAAGTTCAATGTTAATTACTGTATGCCATTTGGTTGCCAATACATCGGTGTGTCACTGGCCTTTAATTGGATAAATATTACCCAGTATATGCTGTCCAGTGTTAAATGAAGTTCTACTCTGGCCAGTGGAAGACAAAGCAAGGAATGAAATTTAATTCTCTACAATCGAATTCCTCATTTAAAGACCTGAGGATTGTCTAACTAACAATAATACTAACAATAATAACAGCACAAAATAATTGCCAGCCGTAGTTTCACTATTGAAATATCACTAGTTTCCACAACTTTTCTGCGCTAACTGTCCTTACCTGTGACTCTAACCTCAATGTCGAATGAAGCCTCACCCACAGAGTTTTTGGCTTTGATAGTGTAAATGGCTGAATCCGAGCGCTTTGATGAGGGAATAACAAGTTGAGACATTCCCTCTGTATTGACGATATGAAACCACGGGGATATTGGCTCATCATCCTTCAGCCAAGTGATCTGAGGTGGAGGTTCAGCCTGGGGATACCAATATCGGATAAATGAGATAAAGTGTGAGGCAAATGCCGGCATGTCACACTGTAGTAAACTCATCACTCAAGAATATGACATGGCTGGAATAGAGGATTAAAATCAGAAATACCGAACTGACTTGAAAAAAAATAGATTTATACCATGGAAGTAAGGCTCAGTAATACATAGCAACTTTCAGGCTTAGTCATACCTCATAGCAAATTTTGATGCGCACAGAATTTCCTGCTCTGACAACAATGAAGTCTTCTGGGTCTTTAAAACAAGGTCTCACTGGTTGAAAACAAACAAAACATGAAATGTAGACAGGAAACAAACATTACTCTGGACAAATCATTAATATGAAAAAGGAAAGAAGTTAACTACTTACTGTTGGGATTCTTTGCACACACCATTTCAGAGGGAGGGCTTGGATCTCCTGATCCTGATTCATTGATTGCTGAAACCCTGAATTCATACTCTGCTCCCTCAGTGATATCTTTAACTGCGTAGTTCACATCTGAAAATAGGATTAATAGTATTGCAGGAAAAAATAGAATAAGGCAAAAGAGGAACATTTTCCTTTAATCAAAACTTGAGTGCATATATTTTTCTGACAGACCTTCAATTGGTTCCTTAACAGCATTCAGGGCAATCCACTGATTTGTGTCCTTCTTTCGTTTCTCCAATTGATAACCAATGATTGGTACTCCTCTGTCGTCCTCTGGAGGTGACCAGGTCAACTTGATGCAGGACTTAGTGGCACTTACCACTTTGGGGGCACCAGGTGGACCGGAGAGTACTAAGGAATGACATTTCTAATTAATCAAGTAAGCTCATTAATAATAGTTAAGAAGTAATTAAAGACGTGGAATAAATTAAGGACATCTACATGTTATTACTGCAGGATATTGCGAACTATTCCTCTTGGAGATAAAAGGTGGGTGTTCTACAGTGACTAAATAGTGCCGGTGATAAACGATTTAAAGCAATCACAAAACCTATCCAGAGGCATTTTCAGTTATTACAACCTGAGGGAGATTAACACAGGGATTTGCTGAGGAATGCTAAATGAGACTTCTTTTTTTCTACACTCACTCATTATGCCAGCCATAATGCTATCAGTTGTCTCCAGGGTGTCACTGAGGCCCTCAGGGTTTTCTGCATAGATGCGGTAGTTGTATTTCTTTCCATGAGTCACATTCCTGTCTCTGAAGGAGGTCTTGTCAGCTGAGACGTCCCCAAGTTTTGTCCACAGATTCTGTCCCGCCTGCTGCCGTTCTATAATATAGTTGGTCACAGCAGAGCCGCCATCGTCTTTGGGAGGGTTCCATTTAATCTCAATGATAGATGAGGTGGTTTCAACAGTCTCCACTGGACCCTCAGGTGGACCTGGCCGATCTGTAACGATTTCAGAGTTCAAATGTAGTCACGCAAATGTGATGCTTCGTAAGGTGAAAGTTGTGTTTAACTCTGAACATTGTGGTGAATGAAGAGGTACAATTACTAGAGGGTTAATTTCTCACTTTTCTCATTAGATATATCTATTTTTGTACCTAGCACAATAAGCTGAGATGTGGCCTCCACAGCCCCAAATGGGTTTTTGAGTTGGATCTTTATTTCCCCTGCGTCTGTCCGCAGACAGTCTCTGAGCAGCAGCCGGCTGTGATTGGGCTCCCTCACGATCTTAACTCCTCCTCCGTCTTTGATCTCAGTGCCATCCCTAAACCAACTGACCACCAAAGACTCCTGAGGAGGAAAGGGCATCTTGAAAGCAGCGTTCTGGCCCACTCTTATGATCACAGGTTTGGAGAACTTGTGGAGGTCGTCTGGGTCAAATTCAGGTACATCTGTGAAAAACACAGTTTAAATTAGTGTATTACACAGGAACTTTGTGTCATTTAATATATGTTCAACAATAGAGGGGAGTAAATTATACCTCCAACAGTGACCTTTCCTTGTGTATTTTGATCCCCTGATACAAAACGATAAACTCCAGAGTCGTCATCTCTGCAGCTTTGAATTGTCAGCTTGTGAGAGGTTCCATCTTTCTTTATGTTGACCCCTGCACCCGAGTTTAACTAAGAAATCAAAAGTGACATGGAGAACATTAGGCTTTTCTGTGTTACATTACCTAATGTTGACAGTTGAGGAATTACATTTTACTTACTTTTACTCCCATAATTTACTCTGAGTATGTCAGATACATTTCCAAATTGTAAAATGTACATATTTTAAGTATGTAGGATGTTTGTTAATTGTGCTTTACCTGCTCTCCATCTTTAAACCAGGACCCATCGCGGTCCATGTTCATCTTTACAGATAATTCAGCCGGATTTCCACGAAGAGCATAAATATCAGAGAGTCCACAGGTAATTCCAGGCTCTGGGTAACATAAAACAAAGTTACTCTCCACTTTGCATTTTGATGAGCAGAAGCTTTCAGTTTAGAACTATATGTACGATTATTGAATAAAACTACACAATAATAAATGAATTACCTACACACACCGGTATGCATCTAATTTCTACTAATTAATGTGCTTGTTGTTAGTAGTTAAAGGGTTCATGAATATCAATAATTTACTGTGAATTCTGTCATATTTGTGCTTAAAAAAGTTAAGATAATGGAGCCCGGTTAGCTCAGTTGGTATAGCTGGCGACCCATGTACCGAGGCTGAGTCCTTGCTGTAGCGGCCCAGGGTTCGAATCTGACCTGCAGCCCTTTGCTTCGTGTCATCCCCCTCTCCCTGCCCCCCCCCGTCTGTCCTCAGCTGTCACTGTCATAAAGGCAATAAAAAAAAAAAAAAAGAAAGAAAGGAAGATAAGGAATAGTAGGAAAGGAAATAAGAATATAATAACTTTGACAACCTATATCTGTTTTTTAATGAATTCGGTACACATTAGATCACAATGCCGTGCATGGTTAAAATTTAAGATAAGTGTGATCTGGTTCAAGAGTTTACGATAAACATATGTTACAAAGCGAGCTAATGACATCAAAAGCAAGCACAAAGCAAACATAATTACAAACGTTAACAGAAGCCCAGTCAGCTCACAAGACTTTCTAAGAAGAGTTAAACATGTTCAAATAGTGAGTCTTTGGATCAGTAATACATTAAAACCACATGCTGGTTATAAAGAATCTTTATTTTGTTATTTCACACCTACTTATTTATGAATTAAAATTTGACTTAGGAGAAACTACGGTAACTTCACAGAACTAAGATGTTAAAGGGGAAGTTATAATTTGATTAGATATTGACTCATGTTGCTAAATATTAGTCTTTTAATATCCTTGTTACTATTGTACTTTTAGTATTCAATATCTGGCATACCACCTCCTGCGTCTGCGAGTGGTTGATCAAGCCTTTCCCTGGCACCGGCTTCTGGCACAGGCACCGGCACCTGCACCGGCACAGGCACCTGCACAGGCACCGGCACTGGCACTGGCTGGCCTAATGGCAATAACAGCAGTAAGTAATTTAAACTTGATGTAGTAAATGACTCCCTCATTTTACCATTGCTGTTGATTAGTGCAGTTTCTACAAATCCTATATACTTACTTCTGATGCCATTTTCTAAAGCCTTACACAGTGTCATAGCTTTTTGAAGGTGTTTTTCCTACTTACAGGAAGCCAGAGAGTTGTGGATTGGGTTGAGTCATTTTAAAGTTTTCTTTTAAATAAATTGTCTCTTGAGAAATCAGCTTTTTTTTGTCCAAAAAATAAAATATGGTTCAGAGTGTAGTGTTTTTCATATGAATCCAAATAGCTGTTACAGTGGTAAACATGAAGTCAGGTGTTCTTTATTCATTTATATACATTTAAATATCTAATCCAATAATAATAATATATTATATATAGAGAGAGGTATGTGCTAATGTCTTTTCAGTTTGAACTTTTATTGTTGAAAGAAGCATACTGGACAGAAAATAAGTCTGTTAAAATGTCCTAATGTGTCTGAAGGTGAGCGTAAAAAATTAGCTCTGACCTTACTTACTTTTAATACTGTAGTAATTCATGTAAAGATCATGTCTGGGCATACAAACACAGACACTCAAGCATTAATAATGTAACATTAACAAAGAGACCAGACGTAATACTGAAGTGGATCACTTAACAGCGGGCAAACAAATCCATGATTTGAAAAATAGTTCACGTGATTTGTATAAAAATGGGCTAAAACATTTAAATGGTATGGTGCCTTAAACATAAATTGCCATTGATAATCTGTAAGTAAATATGATGTAGGCTTTAGAGAGTAGCAAAATCTGACCTTTAACAGGCAGACGATCTTATAATGAACAGACAACACAACATAAAGCCAAAACATTATAGTGACCTCAACAGAAATTTAAAAATGTTTGATGCAAAGGGTTTCAACAAAGTAAAACATGTCAGGATTAAGAAACTTTTTACTGAAGCCATTATACTTCCATATTCACATTTGAATGCATGCAGAGGTTTTTCTTACCAGTACTTGCTACCTCCACAACCGGTGAATCTGCTGGTTCCTTTACTCCTTCTATCAACCATTAAAACTAGTTAGTGGTTGCCATATCAACAAATTATCATAACAAGTATTATATGCAAATGAAGGAAGATGAAAAATAAATCACAAAGTAACCACACGAACATATAAATATTCATGTCAGGAATTATAGTTTTGGTTATCACATTAATCTATAATTACAATTCAGGAGTTTTTGTAATACATAAGTCATGCCAATATGGCCATCATATTTGTGAATTTTCTGTTTCATAAACCTTGTGGTCGGTATTCTTACTTGGTTTAGGTTTTGGTGCCTCTGTTTTCACCCCAGCTGTAGCTGGAGGGGATTCAGGAGGAGGTGCAGCTGCTGCAGCTTCTTTTGCAACTTTAATCTGTTCTTTCCTTTCTTCTCTATCTTTCTCTAATTTTGCCTGTTGCTCTTGGGCGACCTTCTGCAGATCCACCCCAGAACCGCCAGCCCTTGTTGTTTTCCTTGCTGATTTTTTGCCCTTTGGCGCATCTTTATCAGCTGAATTGGGGAAAAAAAGGACTTGCATTTAAAGGATATATATGACATCAAACAACAGAAACAATTATTTTCTATGTAACGATATAGTGGAGTAATGGTGTCCCAAGTATAAAATTATGTCACACTCGCTTTGCCCGTGCTGCTATCCCAGCTTCTCTGTGCTTTGTTTATAAAGCTGAGGAGAGCGACTGAAACAGCTGTTTTTCTCATTTACGTTGGTGAAGTAAGAATTTTTTTTTTGTTTACCAAACCAGAGTTGGTGATTCTTGGAACAGTGGAACGAGTTTTTGTTTTCTTTCCACTTTGAATGCACTTACAATGTTGATATGCACAGTAAAATTACTGTTTTTGAGTGTGGAGTTTGAGGGGTGGCGAGCGACTGCAATATCTCTGTAGGGATCCTTTTCATAATGTTGTCACACACTTATAATAACAATCTGAGCCTGTCAGTGGCAAAACATGCAAGAACATTTAGTGGGTGTTCTTCAACAGGAGCATTTGTCCCAAGGATTAGCTTATGTTGTCGCTACAATGACAGCACGTTTTGCTAATATTTTCACATCTGTTTGGTTAGTTTTATTTTGTGTCTGTTCTGATTGAAGTGTGTTGTCTACTTGGACATACATCTACATGGTCAAATTATTGGTTTTGTTTGCGAAGTCGGGTGCCATAATGCATTTGTCTTGGTCTGAAATGCTGTGCTATAGTGCAACATCTATTGGCTGTGAATTTCATATATATGTAAATTCTAAGCAATGAGTGGTAAAATAAAGGCATCATATTCTTTCTCATTATATTAGTTTGTGTTTTGGTGGAGTATAATATCTTACCTTCAACAATAAGCCATGCGTTGCAAGATTTTATTCCTGCACAGGCAGAATAAATTCCTTTGTCTACTACCATACAGTCTTTGACCACCAGCCTGTGAATGAGCTTGTCTTCTGAAACCTGGATATCATATTTATCGCCTTGTTCCAGTGGCAAATTCTTGCCAAACCACAAAATCTTGGAGAAGGGATTTGACAGAACACATTCAAAAACAGCATCTTCTCTCTCGATTGCCTTCACTTCTTGAATTTTCACCAAGAAATCCACCATGGGGACTGAAATATAAAAAAGCAATTTATTTTAGAATAAAATACTTTGTTACTGTTGTCTGCATGAATGATAATTATTAAAGACACAGCTGATGTTATTTATTTTAGCTAGGGCTATTTGTGTTATGCATCAAACACATTGTCTTCCTTTGCTTTAATTAGGGCTACTCATTTGTCATGTGTGCAAGTATAAAACTCACTTTTAAAATCCGTGGAAAACATATTCACATCCCCTACATCCAGTTGGTACAGTCCAGCATCGTCTGGCATAAGGTCCCTTACACTGAAAATATACTTTCTCCCCACTTGTTTGAGGCTGTGCTTCATCTGATCTCCCAGCTCCTTTGTATATGGAACCATTACACCATCCTGTGAGGGGAAAGAAACAATGTAATTTGTAATTTCCTTCTGGGATGCTCCAAATTGTGCTTACATAACATAACTTTAAGATACTAGCTGGAGAAATGCCCCTCATTTAAGTTAAAACAAAAAGCATCGTAGCTGCACTTCATCAAAACTCAAAGCCATAAGCTCTAGTATATACTAGCGTTTTGTACACACAGTTATAGGATGACTCTTGTGTTAGTTTATTTTGGCTTCCTGACCTATTGTGTTGTAGGGCTGTTATATATAGGAGAGTTAAAATTTTGTTTCACACTCACCTTGTAAATAAATATGGAGCTGCTTGGGTCAATAAGGTCCATGTCAATCTCAAAGGATGCAATACCATCAGGGTTGACTTCAATAGGTTTCAGGTTAGACAAGTTTTTGACAAACTGGTACACAAACAGAAAAAGAGACACAAACACAAAATGCAAATGAGCTTTTGTTACATTGTTACAGAATTACCTTGTTACTGGAGTGAACTTAACCTTACAGTAAAATGTATCTAAGGATGTATAGTCAGCATCAAAGCTTGTAGTCAGAAAAAAACAAATCAGCACCCAAATATCACAAATGACACACCGCAGCTTGTTCTTCCTCCCGCTCTTTCTTCATTTCATTTAGTTTCTTGAGCATCCAGCGAAAGTCAGTCACTCCGAACTCTGAACAGATTCTCTCATAATCTTTCTTCTCAGCGCTAATTAAGAGTTCCCAAAATTTAGGATCAATCTCTCCCTCTTTCCTCTCTGGTTGCTCGGCTTTAGGACGGATCTTACTGGAAATAAAAACAGGGTGCATTTAGTTAAATAGCAACAGAATTCTGTAGATCACAGAAGTCTATTAACAAATGTAATGCAAACCCACCTTTTCCTTTTTAGTACAGTCTTAAAATTCCCACCAACGGCTTCAGCTGGTTGTTGTTGGACTTTGTTCTTTTTGAAACCAACTGAAAGTGGCAAATATAGTGCTTGCATTATTAATACAATCATGAAATTAACACACAAGAGGGACTGCAGAGTGATATGTATGGGAATTAGTATAACATGCTCAAGGGTTCGGAGTAGATTTGGAAGAACACTTGAGGCAATGTCAGATGAAATGACTCTGAATAATATTATTTACATTAATTTGTCATCTATAGAAAGCAAACAGTCCTTACCTTCAATAACATTCAGAACAACTGTGACGATGGCTTGTCCAAATTCATTTGTGGCAAAGCATTTATAGGTATCAGCTTGATCTGGCTTAACATTTGGCATCTGGAAGATATAAGACATGCCAAATATAATGGACCCCTTGGGTGAAGTAGTTGCCTTTGTAGATATGTTTCAAACCAAATAGCAGTGGTTCCCATTGTTTTTCTTTTTGTCTTGTTTTGTACCCCCACGGCCCTATTAGACCCACTCAAGTAGCCATCAATCAACACGTTTAGATTCAATTTTTCTGGTTTTCAATAGGTTTGGTCCAGTTTGCATTTGTACTTCTACTACTTGGAGTGGAACAACCTGGTTTTTTTTTTGCCATTTTCCATCACTTTAAGAAATCTATTTCAACTTCTCTGTCACTTGCTAACTAGTTTTTATACAGTCCTAATCATAGCATGTGGTAGGACTGGGATAAAACTCAATCAGGTTGATGGGATGTGTGTGTAGTTGGCCTATCATAGCTGGTTTGTTGCTTTTGTTATTTCTATTTTAGTTATTACAATAAACATTGGGAAGATCAAACGAATGGCAACTTCTGTGTTTAATTTTCTCCAAAAGGCAAAAGTGTGGATATAATTTTTTTTTAAAACCAAATTCTGGTTTGTAGTTTTCCTAAATTAGCTATTCCACAATCTTTCCCTGTACATGACAGCTGCAGAGGTACCTACTCCAGTAGTACCCCTGGTTGGAAATCACTGGAGTACAGTAATAAATAGTTATAGAAATAGATACAGAAGGCATCCCTGTGACATGCATCACATGACATACCATTGAAATACTCTAGTACAATTACAGGCTCTGCCCACTACTTGATTGGTAGATGGCCTTTTGATGTGCCTTTTTAATTTACATTTTCAATCTCAAACAGCAGTGAGTTGACAGGATGGGGGGTGGGGGGGGGTAGACGTGTCCAGTCTATTTTATTAAACTGACTTTGTTGAGTGTGCTCCTTTCAAATTTGAAATCCCCTTATTGTCGAAAAAGTCAAAGCACACTGATGGATCAGAAGACTGGACATTAATGTAATCAAATAGCCGCTTCTTCATTTTTTTCTCTCTCCTTCTATTTATATTTATCTATTTTTCTCTGTGATATTTTTACCGCTCCTTTACATCAGCATATTGCTGCATAGTATCAGTGGGATTTGATAGGCCGTATCACTTGCCTCAAACGTATGCTCATTGGAATTGGGATCATATTTAGTCTGGTATCTTGACGTATCAGACACATCTCCATTATTTCTGCTCCATGTTACTGTCGGCTGTGGGTCTCCAGTGACAATCGCTTTGAAAAAAGCAAATTTGCCTGTAAAAAAAGCAGAAAGACAAAGCAGACAAGGTCACCTCATGTTCTTCTTCCTTTTGCCTTTTTCTGTTGTTTTCTTTAAACTGGAAAGAGATGCAGATATATTTACTTACTTACGTGTGTCATTTAGTATGGTTATTGATTTGTAATATACTCTAATTACATAGAATGCTTGGCGCCAAACAGTGGAGAATTAGTCTTATGCAAAATAACAGCATATACTTTTGATAATCTTTAATTTGAAATCAGTGTGTGTTTAATTGTATCTGATTGACACAGGAGTCTTGGTGTTGAATGGATCCTAACCCTGCTCCCACTGACCCATTGCACAAAAGTCATGGATCTAATCCATTATGCAGAATCATGGAAATTCCACCTTGGAATATTTTGCGATATTAATATTTAAAATTCTTATACTATCAGTCCTACCCTCTTGAATGGTCAAAGCAATCGGCTTTCGGGTGAAGTCTGGATGGCTCTTTCCCTCTGGCAGCGTCTCGATAAACTGTGTAATCATCACCCCGGGGGACCTTAGATTTTTCTTGATCCCCACTGTCAGCATTGGAAAATGAAATGTCAGTGACAATACATTTGACTCAGAGAAAAGAATGATAAACATGACCATGATCATATCCAATCCTCAAAACCTGTCGCTGTTTTGTAATCAAATCATCACCCACATAAACCATGCTGAAACACATTCTAATATATGACATATTAGAATGTTTAATGTTACTCATTTTATTATCATTCAGAGCTCTGTGTATGTAGCTCTGGTATAGAAGACTCTCGTGTGTCACATGTTCAATACATTTACATTTCAGTGACTGCCATCTTGTAGACCTTTTTTCTTGGGAATCCATGCCTAAAATTAAACCTGAGGACAGATATGTAGCGATGCACCTACATATCCACGCACATGTATGTACGCTCATATGGTATATTAATAAATCCATTGCATATCAGTTCTTCATGCCATCGTGAGCAGTTGTGAAAGAAAAAAAAAGACGGCTGATGAGGGCTTCTCTGTTTTCCCCTAAGCCTACCTTCTTTACCATTCTCTCCATCAGGACCTGATAAGGCACATGTTAAAGAGCATAGACAGCATATGTCAGCATGGCATTAGCATTGGTTTATGGATTAGACTTAAATAATTAAACTCAGGGGAAGGAAATGAAATACTGCAACAGCATTTGGTGCGCCGAATTGCTACATTGTTAGATTTGGCGAATGAGGCTAAATCATATCAGCAACAACATTGTAATATTTTCTGCATTTGTTAAAACATTTTTTTCTTGTCTGTCCGTGTCAGGTTGTACTATGATTTATCAATGGACAAAATTATATATGAATATGGTAAATATGTGATTCTGCTGCGAACCTTGAGCTGCTTTCGTAAGTTAAGCCTATAAAGTTCATCTTCTTCTCAGTTAATTGTTGTGATCAGTCTGCAATGTGTGTCTACCTTCTTTTGAGCTCCTGTTGGCCTTGAATAGACTATGTGTACACGCTATTGTACAGTCTATTTATGGTAATGGGCAAATTGCAGTCTTTAACTTAACTGAATAAACTGATTTGAATAGTATTTCAGCAAAAAACTGTCATTTTGAGTAAGATGTAACCTTGATAATAGCAAGTAATTAACTATTAGAGTCAGACAGAAATACACAGTTATGAATATACAGAACTTCAATTAAAAGCAGGGTCTAACAATTCAATCGTTTTAGTTCATACCATGAGCAGCAATGTATCAAATGATCAAATAATGATTTGCAATTGCTATTTGATACCCTAATTTTTTATACAAGTAATATTCATTCTGCTTCAAATAAACAATTTAAAAGTATTCTTTGCTGAGAAAGAGTTCCTCAAAGGGAATTACCTGTTCCAAATAAAGGCAGGTTGAGTTCAGTGATTGAAGCAAATAAAAGCCAGTGCTATTAATCTAAGTTTTACGGTATTTAGAATTTCCTTTAGATATACCTACCAATAGATCCCCTTACTAACCATATTCAATCAATTCTGTTAGATTCTGACCTGGAAAGGTGTCATCTTATTAATTCAGTCTCTAAGGGAGAGCAACTAAATATAGCCTTGTATTAAATATCTTTTTAACTTATTTTTTCATGGATCTGGGATATATTTCTTGTAGCTGTAATTGCTTCCCCAACCACTAAGGATGATGCATCCTACTTGATCATTTTGTAACATAGTAAAATTAATGAACTTTTTCTTAGCTTTTTTCAAACAAAGAAACATATATTCAAGACAAGTTTCCTTTAGATTTAAGGAGTGATAATGTTTTCTCTCTATGCCCAGATTACTGGTTTTATTTGTTTGCTTGTTACCTCTGTGTTGCCAATATATCTTCAGAATTTGAAATAAAAAACAAATATAAACTGTTAAGATGCTGTGCAGAGACACTATCTGGATACTGAATGTTATGAGATCACACTTATTTGCTTACCTTGGCCAGCGGCCGTCCCATCCGTCACTACTGATCGTCTAAACATCTTGGGTCCTCTTATTCCTGGATAGATTCAGAAAGATTTCCCCAACTGCAATAAATGATGGAGGGATTTAAGTACAATATTTATGTCTCTACTGATCTATTCAAATAACAGGAGTAGGAAATCATATTTTGCTTCTTATTTGTCAGAATATGATTAATAATTCACTGGAGGATTTCAAATTTCATTTTGCCATAATAATATATAAAATAACAATAATATTGTATTGAATTTAGGAAGAAGTCCTGCCTGAGAGGCTCAATTGATGGCAAGGAAGTTCCTTTGCCATTGAACAACTGAAGACTTGATTTGTAATTTGATTTGACCTAGACTGAGAAAAGTGCAGTGTTGTAGATATTGTTGAAAAAATGCAAACCTCCTTGAGTAATGTTAGGATTCGTTAAATTTGAGTTAATTATTGTGATTTGGGCAGATTATTAGCACAGATGAATTTAAAGGAATTCAAAAGGAACATATGTTACAAAATGAAACAGTCATCATGGTAGCAAATGTTCTGCCAAACATTAGCCTTTGGCCGTGATTCTACTGCAGACTCTCAGGATACAGTGAAAGACACAAAATATGATCATCTGTGGCTCAATGCCATGCAGCTGCTTGCTGTATACTGAGTGTTATTCACATTCCCCAAAAATAATTTGAAATTAAAACTGGAGTGTAGACTTTCACATCAACCTCATGATGTAATTTCTTACCATGCTTTAACTATCATTATGCAAGGGTATTTGTTGTCACTTTAAGCTGTGCAGCATGTTGGCTTGATGTTCAAATGAGTACATGCTTATCAAATTAACCTTTTTTATGATCTGTCAGTTCCATTCACAGCAGGGATCTCTGCTAGAACATGGCAATCTTTCATTACCCACATGGTTGCTAAACTTAGAATGACAAATGTCACTTCACCAAAATAACTGATGGAACATTAATTGTAATGGATTCAGTGGTGCTGGGGCTTAAGGGGATTTACAGAAATGTGACTGTTTGTTTAGGAACCCAACTATATGGTAGGCATATAGTAACTTCCCCATGACTGAGGCACATACAGACTTAAAAAAAAAATAATAACTTGTAGCACTACGAAGCAAACCAATGTTTGTGTGTGCATTTGTGTGTGTGTGTGCTTTAAAGGTTTAAAACTTTTAAGCAAATCATGAGAAAGAAATTGCATCCTATATCTTTGTTAGACCTCAAATATACACAATGCATTCTGATAACTCTGAACGTAAACAGAAAAATGTTGTTTACAAGAAAACTGAATTTGAATTTGCCTTCTGATTATGGCCAGTTTGGCAAATGCTAGATATTTAGCAAATGATAACACAAGTCCTTGCTAACAGAGCAGCTTGCCTGCTAGGAACAACAGCCTATTTCCTTAAAGTGGAATGCTATAACCTTTAGGCAATCATGTTGACATTGACAGACCATCAATCAATATAGTAGACCTCCAAAATCCAGATAATGTGCAAGAAAAAGGAGAAGCAAATTTAAACTTTGGATGAATTTGCCTGCACTGAATTGCTTGAACTCTATCCCAAGCCGTTCTCTGTTGCAACACTCGGGAAATGACATCTTAATCACAGTGTAGGTTCAAATGTTAGTTTGAGGTGTCTGTGACAACAAGCAGGGTATTTGCCTGGAGCTAGAATCTTTTTTCTGGTACAGCCTCAAGAATTTCTTGTTATTGCCTGTCTGGTTTATACGTACAGTAGCTTTGTTGGAGAGATGCTCATGTTCACAAATATTGATTGTAATCTGCACCCACCACCACTAACTCCACACACAGACATACTGTATATTTGTAACTGCTTGATTGAAAACTGATTGAAACAGACTAGGTATCCTCTTCAGGTGCATTAAGAGTAAATGTAAGATATGTTTTGGGAAAAGTTCTGTCCTTAAACTAAACATTGCTGATGCTGTCTGAACTCTGTAACTCTTTGCTCTGAAAGCATTTCCCTTGTCACAAGACCAGTTAGAATTACAACAGCCTTGTTGATTGTCACTAGGCCTTATCCTCAAGGTGAATCAGCAAACAAACTCACACTTTCCAACATAGTGTCATAGACACATATATAAAAATAATAAGTTGAAGTTGTTTCATATTTTGAATAAGGTGCAGCAGGTTTATGATTAGAAAAACAGACTTTTTAACTTCATTCATTCTATGAATTAAAAAATGAACCTGAATGAACAATGAACAATTTATCAGCATTATTAAATATTTTAGATAACTGTTGAAAAGGTTTTTATTTTGGATATGATTGACCACCTGTAACCTCTTTGCACAAACCTACCACAGCCCAGTGTAGGCGCGTGATATTCTAGGGTGTTGATGATCCACGGCTGTTGGAAGATGAGAAAACTGGATTGTCACCTGATAGGTCACATGCCACATAAAACGGTTAACATCCCATCTCGAACATCTTAATATGCTTGTAAATCACTGTTGACATGACGAATGAGTCGTACAGCGGTGAGACCTGCTCAGCATAGCAAGTTTAAACTCTGTAGATTAACGTATTCTGGGGTCCTGAGGCTCAAAAAAGATAAGTAATTGATCTTTATTACACCCCAACTCTTGACAAGTCATAGGCATTTCAATTTGCCCCTAACATAGTTTGTCAATATGGCAACTAAATCAGTTTCTAAATAATTTAAGGTTTTAAAGTGGTAATGTATACATGGTAAAAGAAAAAGTGTTAAAAAGTGTGCTAAATATTCTGTAACTGTATACAGTTTTTCTAAATATGATGAGCACATGACTACAAATTGCACGCTATATATATTTTTTTAGCTTAACCAAATAGTGTGCTCTTGAATGCTTATTGTAAGAAGTTAAATTTTTGGTGCTCAACAAACATTTTGAGCTCTAAGTCAACAGCCTCCTTGCTGTGAGAGTTGGCTTTTATGGGTTTCATGTGGTCTGTGTTGCATCTGCTGTTAATGCTATCAGCTGCTTACAGTATGTGACCAGCGCTGAAATACAGCACGGTAGAGTATACTCAGAGACTGAGAGCATCGTAAAAATGATTAAAAGCAAGACATTACTAAAGGGCATCTTTAGAACGCATGTGACTATCTATGGAGTCGACATTGATGCTGATCATGTGAACTAGATGAGAACTGCAGGTTTGCTTAATTTGGGTTATTACCGTGCTCTCTCTCTGCCTAGTTACAGAGCAGGTTTTTTTTGCAATGTAAATATTGCTAATGTAGCTTTTTTAGTTGCAGGAAAACATATAAATGTGGTAAATATGAGTTTGACAAAAGAAGAATCTTCCTAAAAACATTTTTTTTTCCTAAGCCATTAAGTTGTCAAAGGACTTTAGTCGTTAGCTGTTTTATCGAGCTGTTTGTTCGATAAATGTGTGTGACAGAACATATGGGTTGAATTATTGTTCATATAAATGAAATATATTGATTTGCCAACCTGCCAAAATAAAGTGTTAAAAGATCTTGTGACCCCACAAACTTTAACCGTCAATTTAAACTGTTGTAGAAGGCCACTATTTATATTGGAAGTGTGAATTAGCTTATATATGCATTTCCTAACTCCAGGAAAGGACTCTGATAACCTTATGACTTCTGATTTAAATTTGCACAAACCTTTAACTTAACACTAATACTTTTTTTTTTTTTAATACACATTTGAGTAAGCATTATATGAGCAAAATCTGGAAGGCTTTAAATAATATAAATGATGTGAAAACAAAAATACTGCATGTACATATCGAAGCACTAAAACAAGTAAGCTCCATCGCGTTTATAGGCAAACACTTTCCACAGTTCGCCACGTTAACTTAGTGTTATATTTGGACTAGATGTTAAGAGTGAATCATCCAGTGGATTACTTCAGTGTTAAACACTGTAGCCAACTCTAAATACTTAACACCTCCATCTCTGAGTGGTGCTCTATGTAAGATGAATGATGAATTTACCTTAGTCCTCCTGTGATCCTCTTGAGTGGTGCTGCTTCCCAGTCTGATATTTAAGTGTTGCCTCCCTGGTCTTCAAGCTATTAAGTCCTTACAGGAATGCCAATGACTCTGCGACTAGCACCCACGTTGTCAGACATGGTGCCTGCCAAGAAAGGGGATTGCTTTTTTGTTTTTGGCATAAATCATGACCTCTAGCAAGGGGGAGGAGGGAAAGCCAAGGTTGGCCACAAGCTTCATGTTGGGATGACCAGCACTTTGGCTTCTTGTTAACAAATACATGAGCTTCTTCTGGAGGGGTCTAAATTACATCCATTTGTCTAAGACATGTAGTTAAGCCAATTCTTGTTATAATATCAGTGCATAGATTCTATATTGTCAACTAAACTGTTTGTGTGAAATTTTAAAAGTTTCTCCTCATAGTTGGTATCTGGATCCTTTTCACGTGATCATTTACAACTTCTGCAGATTGCTTTCACTTTCACCTTTATCAAGAGAAATGTTGGGTATAATCTTTTCATTTGTGTTTTGTCTTCCTTTTGGCTGTTAGATTGGCCAGTTGTGTCTATTATACTAAGTATTATATACGTAAATCAGTATTTTCTTACTTGGATTGTGGAGTTGAAAGCAGTAGTCAGAGCTAAGTGTTGACAGTCAGGTATGCTCACGCTGACACTCATATGAAATTACGAGAACAACAAAACATCATATATTAATGTTTAGATGCACTAATGACGCCTATTGACAGCAGCTAAAAATACAGAGTGTTTATTGGGTGTCTAAGCAGTCTTGAATGGCATCTTTAAACATAATACATTGATAAAAGTGTGGGTTCAAGTGCAGTCTCATAAATTGTCAAGACAGACATGTCTTTGGAGGTGAGATAATGATGCATTTCTTGGAATTAATGGATTACTTGGGTCTTCACATCAGAATATAGATATATACAATCATTAATGAATGACAGACTTTTCTCATGCTAACCAAAATAACAGCTAATTAAATATATATTTAAACAGCAGATTATTATGATTATTAATAATAATCATAATAATAATATTAATATCATTTATAGGTTTGTTTGAATTACTAACCACTGTAATCTGCCTGATGATGAGCCTTGTAATAATAATAATATAATAATAATGATGAATATGTCACCAGTCTTATGTAAGGATAAGGTGGGCCAAACATAATTTTGTGATTAGTAGTTGGAAAACATAAGCACATCAGGCTAAAAGGCAACTCTTGTGCTTCCGCTGTACTTTTTATATTTTACTTATACTAAGAAAAAAGAAAATTCCTCATCATTTTTAAAATGTACATTGTTTTAGATGTTGTAATTGTTTTCAGCAAAGGCAAATGTGCTGTGTGTCTGTTGAACACACTGACTACCTTGAGGAAATGTACTTACTTGTGAAAAGTCATTCAGATTCCTCCTGGAGTCTGCATTCCTGGAACTTTCAACCACATCCCAGTCTTTGTGGTCCTAGTAATAACAGAGCTATGCTCAGTTTGAGCACGATTGTGTGTGTGTGTGTGTGTGTGTGTGTGTGTGTGTGTGTGTGTGTGTGTGTGTGTGTGTGTGTGTGTGTGTGTGTGTGTGTGTGTGTGTGTGTGTGTGGATATTTCAAGCAGTGTAATAAAAGGGGATGCGTGGCGCAGGAGCTATGACTGTTCTCAGGCACTGGAAGCTGATATGAGAGGCTTGATGTTCTTGAAGGCATTTATTGCAAGGTCACTGAAGTCAGGAGCTTTGAATTCTACCCTGCAAAACAATGACAAAACAACATGACATTAAGCAACCCATTGCTACATGGACAAACTTGACCCCATCTGTGTGTTGGTAACCTTTTTATTTATTTAGTTTAATGGGAAAATACATTGCCTTGACCTAATAGATATATTCAATACTATAAATAGTTATTATAGTTAAACTACACTACAATATCTAAAACTTTCTGGATAAGTGGTGAAAAAGCATCCATGTTTTTATGTTGTCAAAAGAAGGAGGTGTATGTATGTTTTCTTAATGTTATGAGGAGTATTTAGGAGTACGGTCTAGACTTGCTCTATATGAAAAGTGTCCTGAGGTAACTTCTGTTATGATTTGGCGCTGCACAAATATCATTGAATTGATTTGTTTTTTGAACAACAGTAAATATTTGTAATGTTTCTTAGTATATCACTACAAGGAATTGCTAAATACTATTGGCATGTGTTTAAGAGGCTTTTAAATGTCAAAGCCTTGTACAATAAACTCCCAGTAAAGAGTTATGTACAGATGCCATGTGGCTACTGATAATATTAGTTGGTCCCAGGACTTTACACAGGAAGATGCACAGTTGTTTGCAAGGTTTCACTTCGTCATGCACATGAAATTTTATCATTTATGACTTTCCATAATAGACTGGCAAAATCCACGGAGAGCTTGCAAACATATGTTCGCAGTAAAAGAGAAATTTGAAGCCATCTGACAGTTGGCAAAGCGGAAGCAGTGCACGTGAAGTTACAAAATGGAAAGGCACAATAAAAGTGTCACTGGATTCCAGTCCTATGAGGTATACTGAATGTGAATGCAGCCCATCATAGTCAAATACTGGTTAAATATAGTAAAAAAATATGATCTACATAATTACTCGATCATTTTTAAATGTACAAAAACAAAATTATTGTTTTATACCTATTATATCATAGACTTGTACACAAAAACTACTTGATACTTTGATATTCTATTGGGGTGAGCATGATATATATATTTAGTGTAACAGAATGATGAATGGTTGGATTGTAACCTGAATGCAACATTTAATATGTAGCCTGAGTCAATATATTGACACATAAATTGTCACCAGGGCATGTTATATTGTTTTTCTATATATAGCAATGTCAGTCAGCTGGTCCACCGCTTTGGTTGAAGCTGAAATATTTAAACAACTATTAAATAGATTTCCATTACATTTTATACAGATGTTCATGGTCCTGAGAGTATGAATCCCACTGACTTTGGTGCTCCCCTCACTTTTCCTTAAGTCACCACGGAGTTGGAATTCTATGTTTGGCATCATTAGGTGAACATATTAGTTTGTTTAGTGCTTTGATTTATGTATGAACTAACAGCATTTCCCCATCAGCATCAACTGTGCTTTGATTAAAAGCCTAAACTACAGTGGTGAACCTGGTGAACATTGCTGTCTTAACATCTGCATATTAACATTTTCAGTGTTATCATGCTGACTTTAGAATTGATCTAAGGCCAACAGTGCCTAAGTACAGCCTCAGAGAGCCACTAGAGCGCTTGCAGAGTCTTTTTGCACATCAAGTAATAAGCTCATGCTGAAATTTAGGTTAAACATAGGCAAATAAGACAGTACGCTGTTGGACAGGTGGGATTTATTTATATTCTTGCATAATGATTAATAAATCAAACACTAAAACATACTCAGTTATAGTCATCGATTTTCAATCAGGTAGTAGTTTTAGATAACATCCGTCTTATTCAGAAAACAGCAGAGGAAATTAACTATAATCACAGCTCTGGGAAAATAGGTCAATTAATAAACATGCTTGGGTCCAAGATTAGCATATAATTAATGTTGAATCTCAGATATCCCTTGTCAAAGTGCTCTTTGCATCCTGTTGATAGATTGAGTAGGATTTGCACTCAAATACCACAGAACCTAGTTTAAATCTGTCACATTTGTTATTGGTGCTTGAAAATCCTCACGTACCCTCTTTCATCCTTTATTTTCATCTTTACAGTTTATTTAGACACATGAATACAATATTTCACAAAAAAGCACAGAAACAGCTTGTTTTAAATTTGCAAATCCTTCACACTTTATTCCTCTTCAGGAGTTTAGGCCCACTTCATCATCCTAATCTGAAGAATGAGGGAAAGAAAGGTGTTGTTTAAACATAATCAGAAGAGTCACATTTAGGAGAAGATGTGAGAAATAATTTTGAATGGGTTTTTTACCTTTAACAACAAGTTTAGTTGAACACTCCACTCTGCCCAGAGAATTGTCTGCAATGACAGAGTAATCCCCACTATCCTTGGGCCCAACTTTGAGTATCACCATGGAGCAGACCCCACATGTGTTAGTGATGTAGTAGTTACTGTTGGTGTTGAGGCTGACGTTATTTCTGTACCAGGTAACATGAGGTCTTGGATTTCCTGTCACTGCACAACTCATGTAGCACTCATAGCTCTCTGGACAGTTGTGCATCTTTAGTGGAACAGAGAATGAGGGAGGCGCTTCAAAGCTGCAGTCCTTGGAGGTAGGAAGGTTCAAAGAAAATGTTTCTGGAAGGATACAAAGGAAATGAAAGAAACGTTAAAAGGGTGCTACACTTAACAATAGATACCCTTTTCATTTCTATATTCTCTGTAGTCATCATTATATAACTGACCTTGCAGTTTACTGTGTGGTATGCTCCACCCATATGCACTTAGACAGTTAATATTCTTTAAAATTGTCACTCCTGTTATGCTTCTATTAAGTACATTCATCTATGCAGATGCTTCCTATTCCTTTATTTGAACATATTTAGGGCTACAACTAAAGATTATTTTCATTGTTGCTTTAATCTGCCAATTATTTTCTCAATTAATCATCTAGTTTATGTAATGTCAAAAGTAACAAAATCACATTACAGTTTCTCAGAGCCAAGTGATGTGTTTAAATTTCTTAATTTGTCAGACCAACAGTCCACACCCTGGGATATATCATTCACTATTAGGTGGACCACCACATTTTTGCCACAAAATGTGTTTGTCTAGTCTGTCGACTAATTGTTTGCATGATCTATTTACACCTGGGTTGATGCCATTTAAACTATACTTGGGCTGCAACTAACAGTTATTTATTGTTGATTAATCTGATTATAGTTTTGTTTATTCAATAAATTAATGGTTTAATCTATGAAAACTGAAAAACAACTGTAAAATGCCCATCAGAAGATTTGAGAACCAAAGGTGACATCTTCATGTCTTGTTTTGTCTGGCTGACTGACTGACAGCCCAAATACCCAAATACATTCAGTTTAACATTATTAAACACAGAAATGCAGAAAATCCTTGCATTTAAGAGGCTAAACCAGCAAATGTTTGAAATTTTTGCTTTACAATTAATTAAAT